CCCTAAGAAGGAAGTGCACAGTGTTGCTACATATGCTATTTAGTTCCCATAGATACTCATAATTGTTATTTACTCCATTTAGGGGCCACCTAATTGCTAGGTATGCTATTTAGTTCCCATAGATACCCATAATTGTTATTTGCTCTATTCATGGTCTACATAAAAATCTATTATAGGAAACATATTACAAGGAAATATAAGATTTATCATATTTGGGCACACTTCAACGATAAAAAAATAGAAATAAACTACATAAAATTTCTCCAAAATACGTGAAATCTATTAAGCTTACAATGGTTATGAAATCCATTACATGCTTAAGAGGTAATCTAACTATGCTCAACACTAACCATTACACGCTTAAGAGGAAATCTAACTATGCTCAACACGCTTAAGAGGTAATCTAACTAGGCTCAAAATGACAGTGAAATCCATTACGTGCTTAACGCTTAACGGTACTCTATGCGCTTCTCTTATCCAAAAAAATCCTCTATCTCCCATTATTCTCTATGTTGTGCCCCTCCCTTCTCCCTCTCTCCTGCGTACATCCATTTCTATTTTCTCTATGAACTCAACTAAGTATTTACATATACGGCGCACATCCATTTCTACATCCCTTTATACCTAATTTGGGTTGTAACCCTCATCTGAATACTTTTTCTCTCTCAAATCAACTAAGTATTTGCGCATACTATGCGCATCTATTTCCATTTCTACATCCCTTTATACCTAATTTGGGTTGTAACCCTCATCTAAATACTTTCTCTCTCTCAAATCAACTAAGTATTTGCACATACTATGCACATCTATTTCTATAGTATTTGCACATACTATGCGCATCTATTTCTATACTCTCTTGAGTACATCAATTTCTACATCCCTTTATCCCCAATTGGGTTGTAACCCTTATCCGAAGCCATGAGCTCTCATATAATAATAAAAATAATAATTAGTAATCAATAAGAAATTACACAACACAATCATAATAAAAAATTTCACACAATATAATCCTCATAAGAGATTAGTAAAAGCTCAATTGAAATAAGATACCTCTTTAGCCTCCTCCAATGTCTCAAAATTTTCTACTGCACTCAACCTTTTAATTTACTAATCAAACTTCTTCCCATTTTTTAACTTGTACGATAAAGATTTTGAATTTGATATCATAAATTTATTGTTTATTTGAAATTATATAGAGAGACATTTGAAAGACTTCTATAAAAAAGAGATGAAAATAAGACTTATCATAATAAAATCATGTTATTCCAATCATATTTTTTCAATGACTTATCATGTTGAAACCAAAGTCTAACCACGTTAGAAGACATGTGATTCCATGTAAGTGCCAAATGTATGCAAAATAAGTATGACTTTATAATGGTACAAGTTATTATTAGAAAATCATTTTAGAATAATGATGATGTTATTATTAGAAAATATTTTTGGAATGGTGTGATGATGACTTTAATTCCGCATTTCAGTGAAATTTTGTGGCAAAAAAGAAAGAAATGATAGTTTATAAGCAAGTGCTCGTAAAATGTTGATAATGTATTTCCCATATTTCTTCCGGATATAGCCAAACAGTAGCGTTGTAATAATGTATTACGTCAGTAATATATTTCACAAACAATACATTTTCAAATATCCAAACGACCCCTTAATGTGTAATACAAGAACCGGATTTCATTATAATTGAACTTTTGAAAATTTCATCAAAATATACAGTACAATGATGCTTTTTCTATCATAAACTGAAATTAACTTAATTTTAAAAAAAAAACAATTTTGTTTTTGTTTTTTTTTTGTTTTGGGTGGGGGTCGGGGGTTGAGGGGAGGGGGGGGGGAGGGAATGTGATTCAAATTTTCAATTGCATAGGCTAGTTCCAGCTTTTAAAACATTTATTACATTACGGAAATCTGTATAACGAAACCATTTACTTTTGATCACAATCATCATTGACCATAAGATTTGAAATTGGATAGTTAGGGATACTTCATTGTTTGAGCATAAAATCCAAAATAAAATTTTTCAAATGTTGTGATACACTTTCATTTATTGGATTTCATGTCCTATAGTTAAAAATAATTATGACCTTATACCATCCCTGTTGCCCTAACAAAAGCACGATTAAAGAATTACATGGCAGCATAAAACATTCTTCTAGACTCAAAGCATGTTTCATCAATTAATGGTAACACAGGTAAACGTGACAGTTGTGCATCCTGTAACTTTAGAATGTAATAATTATTGTAGGAGGTTAGGTTGCTAAAAGATTACAAATATTTTTATGTACCACCATCAACGTCTTATTCTCACTGATGTTACATGGACATGGACACGAGTGTCTAGCACGTCTTGAGTGTGTGATTGTACAAATGTGTGTGCACGTGCGTGTGTGAGGGTGTAGTTTGTATTGCCCCAAATAATCAAAATAAAACGGACTTCTAAATAATGTCCAAAGATCGTAATAAAAATCTTTGTGATGACCTGAGCTATTTTCATCTCGAATTATAAAATCTAAAGCTTCCAAAATAATGTAATTCCAGCATATCTATAAACACCAAAAAATATTAAAATTTGACGATCCAAATAATGCATTACAAAATGCACTACTTTCCAAACTTAAAATTCATTTTTTTTCACATCCATACATCTCGAGGTCGAAATGATCAATTTGAGAGTTTTATGACATCCAAAAAAACCTCACCTCGTAAATCTTTGAAGGGCACCTTCATTCAATTGTTCAGGGCCTCAACCTTATATAAAGGTTGACAATATAGATTTATTTTATGCAAAAAAGATAAGAAAAAAAATATTTGATTCTATTTTTTGTTTTTAAAATGATGTTTTGAAAACCTTATTAGTAAAATTAATAATATTTTGCTTAATTTAATAATTGTAATCGTAGAGCTATTAATATTCTCCTAGCATGAACAAAGCTCCAATCCCAGCTAGTATAATTCATATTTGACATTATATAAAGAAATTTAAATCTTAAAATAACGTTGTATAAAAATCTTGACACTCCTTGAACAAAAATTGTTTTCTTTTAAGGTGTTTTTTTGTCGATCAAATAAGTCTTCTATTAATAACTATTTTTCCTAATAAAATTAATTAATAGAAAAAGGTTTGATAGGGTTGCAACCTTATCAAAATAATCTCAAAACTCATCAAAAATAGCAATTCTAGCGGAAAACCTTCAAATATATCATCTAGGCATGAACAATATGGTTGCGAAAAAAATTTGAATCTCAAGCACTAAAAATAGCACATATTATAAATAATTATCTACACCATCCATTTCACCCTAAAAATATCACGGATATGTAAAATCTATACCATTTTTTAGCTGTAAATTTCATAGTCAATGTTCAAAATTGATTTTAGAGCCATCATAGAGATTTCCAATGCCCAAATTGCTTTCTGAGGATTTGAGGCGGGGCTTTACTTCTTTTCGCCAATGTATACCTACAAAACGTGGGTCCTTCGTATTGGATATAGGGTTCTTTTGGACTAAAAAAGTTCATTCTACCTAGGGCTGCCAATGGACAGTTCCAATCCTCGGGCTTCCGAGCAGGACTCGGTTTTGGGCCACCAAGGGGTTAACTAACATGCTCCGGACCTCTAACGGGCAAGCCACTGTGGACAACGCTGTTAACGGATCTTTAACAAGCCGGCCCAAAAAAGGCTCGGAAATTTTGCCCCAACGGGCATGACTAGCTTGGCAGCCCAAAAATGCCTTTGATTGGCCCAATAAGGCACAGCCCGGCCCCATATGGACCGGGCCAACCGATTTATTATTATTTTTTTAATACCTACTAATATATTTTAAAAAAAATTTACAACCCTCTCTCTAGAAATCCAATCTCTCCATTCTAAAACTCATTCTCTCCCTAAAATCCCAATATCTCTCTAAAAACCCAATATCTCTCTCTTTCTAAAAACCCAATCTCTCTTAAGATGTATTTGATACATAAAGCTTTTGGGAGTAGAAGGGACACACCCACAAATTATGGAAGGCTGCTCTTCCATCATTTTTTATGGTCGAGAGGTCTTCCAAAAAATGAACCCCTTTTAACACTAAACAAAAGATGCATGAAAGGTTGCCTTTCCACTTTACAACTTCCAAATAGTAATATCAAACATGGAAGTGGGACATTTAACTCCCACTTTCAGAAACTTTCACTTATCAAATACGCCCTTAATATCTAAAAACCCATTTTCTCTCTCTAAAAATCCAATCGCTCCCTAAAAACCCATTATCTCTCTAATCAGAATATACTCTCTCTCCTTAAAAATCCAATCCCTTTCTCTCTAAAAATCCACTCTCTCTCAGAAAACCCAATCTCTATTTTAACCCAACAAATGCCCAGTTAATTCCAATCATGTCTCTCTCTCCTTTTCCACCTAAATAAAAAAAGATCTCTCTCTCCTTTACCACCTAAATTAAAAAAGATCTCTCTCTCTCTCT